TAGAAAATGACTATGCCTTATTGGAACCTTTAGAAATGTTATAAAAGTAACCTTGAAGTTAATATATTCATATTTACAGCAATTCTATTATTATAAATAATTATATTTTAATAACAGAGATTATGAAATAGTATAAATACATTAATCCAATCTAGTTTTAAATAACTTTGGATAAGATTTGAGAATTATTAACCTTCCCCTTTCTATTTATGAAATTTGAATTTGAGCTTGGATTGTATCTTTTTAAATTCTTTCAATCTTTGAAAGAAATATTTATATTTAGACAGAGTGAAAAAATATAAAATATTAGATTATCAACTTGATCATTCTCACTACTTAAATTTATTCAAATTCCAGTTACCCTTAATTTTTCAGAGATTAATAATTTTTATATAAAAGATCATCAAAGGGGCACTATTAAATAGTAAAGACATTTAATTGCTAATTCAATTATCCAATTCCTCCTAATAATAAAATACATGTTGATGAATTAGGATAAGAATATCAAAAAGTCAAGAGATAAAATCAAAAGTTTATTAAAGGATAATCTTTAAAAAAATATAAATTTTAATAGAGCTTTTATTTTATATTAGCTCATAATCAAAGATTTGAAGAATTAATATGTTCAATGGTTTAAATATAAATGTCCTAAGAAGGAAAGTGAGAGAGATCAGTTCATAAAACTTGTCAATAAACTATAAATACCTTGAAAAGACTAATTCTAAAAAGACAAGATATAAACACCAAGCTGGTTAATGCTTTTAATACCTTTAACCATTTGTAAAAAAGGTTTAATAATGAAAATAATCAAATTTATGATGAAAATATGGATTGCTGTGATTAGAAGATTGTTTCTTATTGTATTAAAGTTATATTAGAAATTAATAAGAGTAATAATTTAAATTGTTATCGACTAAGTAAGGATTTAAGAATTTACTTTATTGATGAGGTTTTAGGCATGTTCTAGAGGGATAAGAAGATAGTTTTATATGATTTAATTGAACTCATAAAAAACTAATAATTTTTTTGAATGACAATAATGGTATTTCGTTTTTTTGAGAAAATAAAAAAGTTAAATTTTTTTTTTATTATACTGTTGGTTCCTCTAAATATTAGGCATCTTAAATTCACATAAGGGAATAATATTGTCTAATTAGGATTATAATTCAATTTATCAAATTAATCGAAGTATTTTTTATGTAAGATTTACAACTTTTTCATTGAGTTTTGTCTAACAACTTGGATATGCTTAAAATATAAATTCTATTATCAAGGGGTTTAAATGTAAAGCTATTTCTAATAAAGGAAAGTAGTCCTGTATCTTGACCTCTCAAATGGATATAATATGGTAAAGAGAGGTAGGATTTTTGCATAACAGATAAAGTAAACCAAATATCTTCATTTATATTATTGAATAACTGTTTATAAGATTTTTATCAAAATATAGATATAGTTTGAAATCTTTTAGAGCTTGTTTTCTAAGTTAATTTTAATATTTCATTTGAATTTCTTGTTAATTAATTTAGATAACTGTATCTATTATTTACAATCATTGCATATTAAGCTGATGATAAATTAAATAATAATAAATCTTACATTAAAATGGGCTAACTCAAAGTTTCTAATTTTAAATCATCATTTATTTTATTTAAATTGGCATTTCTATACATAATAATCTTTAGGATTTATTTTAATATTAACCAAGTAATAAGCCTAATTAAACTCAAAATTCTTATTTGAATTTATTAAATTTAATTTAATCAAAAATATCTCTCAAGAGTAAATTATAAGATTATTAAATGTTTAAATAATTTAGCCGAAAATAGGCAACCGAAAATTATTAACATATATATCTGGACTCAGTTAAAATTAGATTTATTAAACCTATAGAGTAAATGTATTTGAATTTGCTTTATAATTTTTTGTCCTCCTTATCTTATGAACCTAAGATTAAATTTTATTAGAAAATCCTAATTATTTTTTCATATGTTTGAAATAGCTAAGTTAAGTTTTATAGGTTCTAGCAATGTAATATTGATTCGATTATTTTTTAACTGAGGGTTAGACAATATGGAAAATAAATAGAATTATTTTATAATAAACAAAGCTATTTTAATAAATTGAATACAATTTGTAATTATCTGAGGTTGATTTAAAATAGCTACTAAAATTTAGTTGCTATGAAAGTTATTTGATAGTATTATTAAGTCACTATTTAAAATTATAATGGATTAATTATAATAAAAAACAAAAAATTAGTCATCAACTGAAATGATTAAATAGTAATTTTTATAATTTGATTGATTTTTAATCTTCTGATCAATATACATCAAATTACATAATTTTTATGCTGACCCTTAATAACTTACTATGCTATTAAGAATTATAGATAAAGTTGAATAAATTTATGTAAATTAAAAATCATCAATAAATACATTAGAAAAGAGAAATATCTTAATTGGAAGACTATAATTCTTTTAGTCTTCGATTAATTCTTAGATTTCTATAAGGCTATATAAATGTAAAACTCTAAAAGATAATAATACTTTATTTAGGAATATATTATAGTTCATTAAGTTATAAATTAAAAATGTAAATTAATTAATGTTGAATACTGAAGTTACTTTGTGAGTAGATACTATTTTCCAAAGGACTCGGAGACAGAATCCTTGAGATGTTCTTTTTAGAAAGACCCAAAATAGGAAATACATCATTTGATAAGGAAGGCATGATCAAAAGAATGAAAGACTGTTGGATAGACAATTAGGTCAAATGCCCCTGGGATGTTTGTAGGAGCTAATCAAGAGAAATTAGATTGAAGAAGAGAATGACATAAGATGGACCAAATACAAAATAATTTAAGCCCCACTAATGATCAACTCTAAGATCAAATTCACTAGAAAAGGAAGATGGGTTTTTTATAATATTAACAAAAAATTAATTTTAGAATTAATTAGAAGATATCAGAATGCACAATCAGATTTGGTCATAATAGCAATGTACACTATACCAAAAATATGTTGGAAGGAAAACTTCTTAAGCCATATAGTCATACATTCTGCTAACCAATAACTGTCAATTAGACCCAAGAAAATCTATCTTGTCATGATCGATGAGGATTGTGATCTTCATAACATATGGCTTAATAAATTCCAACTAGAACTATTACATAGATTATATCAAGAACATAATAAAGACATAAGGCTCCTAAGAATTAATTGGAGAGAATATATAACAAAACAAAACGAAAGTAATGTGCAAAAAGACTCCTCAGATAATGAGGAAGTGTTCTATCTATATTAAATGGGATGAATTGATTGAAAAATTAGATACACAAAGAGATTTCCACCCATCTCGGAATATATAAATCATTTACTTTTGTTAAAAGACTATGCTATTTCTAAGACCTCATTTCAAAAATTAACTCTGAAATTAAATAAGACTAAGGAACGAGCAATCAATGATGATTAAAGAAATACCGCTTAAGCCAAGATGAAAAAATATCTCAAAGACAAAGACGAATCCTTCTAAGCCAATAGAAACAAATAGATTCAATTTGATTAAATTATTATTATTTTTTTTTAATTTAATGACATTATTTAAAATTCTTCAAGAAATCTCATATCTTTATATTAAAATTATTTATTTGAAAATAAATTCTTAAATTAATCAAGAATAATTAAATTTTAGATAAAGTTTAATATTAAGTTTTGCAAAAATAAAATTAAAATTTATTGTGTGATGTCTAAAAGTGAGAATCACTAAAACTGGGGTGTTAATGACTATTGTAAAACTATGACTTAGGACTTGATTGGGTTTGGGGTTGGGGTTGGGTTTGGGGTTTGGGGTTGGGGTTGGGGTTGGGGTTGGGGTTGGGGTTGGGGTTGGG